TGGAGTTAGAGTTTTGCACATGTAGCTCCAGTTGTACGCCACTGTGGTTTAGCAATCGAAAAAAACTGTAAAAGCTATGATTTGCACTGTCATATAATTATATTCACCATTGTAATAAATTTGTAAATTCTTTGGGTTTGTATTCTTCAGCAACCGTTGAGTTGATTAACCTTCTTGCAAAGTGATTCAGTTCCACGTTTGTTCTCTTCAGCTTCAGCTCGCGCAGCTCACACAGCAGTGCCATTTCAAACAGTAATGCTATTAAAGATGTTTACTATTAGGCTAGCCTACTGTAATATTAAAGTCGTTTAATTGTGAATTTTTTTTTCAAAAACATTGCGTTATAATTAATAACTAACATCATTTTGTTCTCGTATAATTTTCATCAACGATATGGCACACAGCTCTATTTAGCCCTATCGCCAAATGACTACAGCCCCATTGATTCTCTGTAGCAATCCATTGATGAAGTACAGTTGGATGTGCCAAAACTTTCTTCAGTTAAACAAAGACAAAACTGAAGTCATTGCGTCTAAAGTTGAATGCATAAGTTAAGCTTACGCTACGGGAAAGCTTAATCTTTTCGAGATATTTAAGCCAAAAAATTTGCCTTAATTTTGTATTCATTGTCAACGCAGTGCAGCAGATAGCAGACCTAGAGCAGGCTGTCTAACAACTAAAAAATCAAGTCAGGAATCTTGGTGTGTCTCTAGAGTCAGATCTTAGTTTTAGTAGTCATGTCAAAGCAATAACTAAATCAGCATACTATCATCTGAAAAATATTTTATGAATTAGCTGCTTTGTTTTCCAATCAAGATTTAGAGAAACTTGTTCATGCTTTTATCACCAGCAGGGTGGATTACTGTAATGGACTCCTCACAAATCCTGTTCAAATATTCAGCACCGGTCAAAAGTTTGGAAACATTACTATTTTTAAGGTTTTTGAAAAAAAAAAAAAAACATATCAAGCCGGAATTTGATCAAAAATAGAGAATCTGTAATATTGTGAAATATTACAATCTAAAATGTTTTTCTATTTTAATGTACTTTAATGTATAATTTATTTCTGTGGTATAAAGCTGAATTTTTATAAGGCATTATTCCAGTCCTTAGTGTCACATGACCCTTCAGAAATGGCTAAAAATACAACAAAAATATTTCTCTCTAAAGATATTTGTTGTAGACACGATAATCCTTAAGTTTTTATCCAAATGAGCACACTTTTGGACTAAAAGGCTTGAGTGATGCAAAGCTGAATTTTCAGCATCATTACTTCCGTTTTCAGTGTTCCATGAAATCATTCTAACATGCTAATTAAATAATTATATTAAACTCCCCCTGTGGTGAAAATCAAGTTTTTAATGTTTTAATGTACTTTGTATATGTGGTGTTTTTAATGTGCCTTAAGACCGTGTTGAAATTCATGTCAACGCTATTGTTTTTATTTTCACTGCAATTTTAAGAAAATACTCCGCAATCTCAAAAACACTGTTTAAAATCACTGGTGTTTTTGATGTCACAAACGTATCTGTTACCTAATAACCTGTAACCTCGGTTCTCTCTAGAAGAGGGAACGAGTATTGCGTAAGTTTAGCTTACGCTACGGGAAAGATTCATCTTTTCGAGATATTTAAGCCAAAAAATTATCCTTAATTTTGTATTCATTGTCAACGCATAGCAGCAGCTAGCAGACCTAGAGCAGGCTGTGTAGCATGCTCATAGGCTGCCCTGTGGGAACTGCAGCAGCCTATCACTGAGCCTGACGTGACATCACGTCCAATGAAGGGCGCTCATGCCTTCACAGCGTCATAGCCCTCCAGTATGGGCGTGGCTTAGCATATATAAGCATGTCTTGGAGGCCGTTTCTCTGGTTTTCATCGACTGGAGCAAATGGCGCTTTTCCACTGCATAGTACGGTACGGTTCGGTTCGGTACGGCTCACTTGTGGTGCTTTTCCACTGCATGGTACGGTACAGTACGGTTCGCGGTCTGTTGAGGTTCCAAGCGTACCGTACCGGTACTAAAATGTGACGTGAAACACTGCAGATCACTGATTGGTCAGACAGAATCGTCACTACCAGCGTCACTACTAGCGTCATTGGATTTGCGACACGAGACACGAGACACTTTTTTTTAGCAGTATTTTTGTTTTGCTGCCATCAGCCTCATTTTAAACACATTTTTCCGTCTAGAAGTTAAAAACAACCACATACCGAGAATCAGGAACACCATCCCCTCGATAGTCTCCATTGTTCCTGTGTTGTGGGTTTGAAAATGTGGTGCGTTTAAGATGATGTCATGGCAGTAGAGGCGCGCGCAAATAACGATCAGTCCCACACACTTTGAAGGGGTACTACTGCAGTGGAAACGCAAAGCGAGCCGAACTGTTCCGCGCCGAGTCGAAGCGGACTGGGCCGAACCGTACCGTACTATGCAGTGGAAAAGCGCCTAAAAATCGCTCGTGGCACGAGCACCACAGGTTACGCAATACTCATTCCCTCTTCTAGAGCAGTGGTTTTCAAACTTTTTGTGTGTGGACCACTTTTTGTAATTTTTGAAGATTTTTTGCATACCACCTCATAATACACATAATAAAATATGTCTACTCACAGTCGTACCTGAATTAATCCGCACCTCCAAATAGGCTTACGGCCGTTTCACACCGCAAGCATCAGCTGCTTGTATTTTTTTCGGCGAATGAGTGCGTTCACACTCGTGCGTTCATGAGGTGTGAAACGGCCGTTACTAGCACTAAAACTATAACTGGTCATCACATCAGTACAACAGGCTTTTTATTGAAAATAGGTCAACTTCTGCTTTGCCGAACAGGCGCCATAGTTTCTGGACTGTTTGGGGGTGCAGGGACCATTCCCCCGGGGGAACATTGTCCCTGGCTAACGTTTTTGTGGGTTAAGGTTTTTAAGGTTAGTGGCATATGACGCCAATTCGTATTTCCATTTTTGGCGTGCTATCAACACGCATAATCGCTTTTCAGCGTGTTTATGAACGCCGTTGACTTAACGTTATTAATGTATATATAAATATATGACTTACCTCAACCCCGTCCCTAAACCTACCCGTCACTGGGGTTAATGGCATTTATGACTGTTCCCTTACCATCCTAGGAAAGAAAAAGATAGCTCCCCAGATGTAGATGTACATTTTGCTTCATTTCGCTCGGACAATTGACGGCGTGTACAGACACGCGGAATGACATGGACGTTAATGGCGTAGACATACACGCGGATACACGCGGATAGCTCAAAATGCGTAGAGATAACACGCCACTTGACTCGAAAGTGGCGTGTATGTTTACGCAAAAGTCATGATGTCATGTTGCATCATCGCACCTCGCTGATACCAGTCGGCCGCTAACCAGAGCTGCAGAGCCGTAATGCAGGTCTGAGTCACTCTGATTCATTCGCATAATTGAATCAGAGTGATTGAATCATGATTGAATCAGACAACGAGACGCTCAAGTGTTGTGCTGAAGTGGGTGCAGGTGCAGTAAGCCCAGCTGAAGCACTGCTTTAAACATCTAAAATTATCTTTATTTGTACATTTATTTTTCTGTACTCGCTTTTCGACGACTAATGCCCCCCTCCCCCCCCCACCTACAGTTAATAACAGTATCATAAACTGTTGTGAAAAAACATTTAATGGGTAACATTATTATAATAGCTATGTGTTTTACAGTAGAGTACAGCTACAGTAGCAGGATCATTATTGTGATATGGGGAAAAAAGTTAAATATGTTTTTCCTATAGATACTTGATTTTGCTTTTGTTCTTTTGTTTCAGTCTAACTGAAATCATTCCGATTGGTGAATCTGAATTTAGTGTTTACATGAACACTAAAAAAGTGATTGGTTGATGTGTTTTAACATTGCTAAGAAAATTCCCGCTCCTCTGTTTAGAGATCGCCCAAAATGTCTGGGATTCGGCTTTTGCGTTCCACATTCGCAATTCATTATTTTTACTGTGGCAAGCAGCACGAGGCTATGGCCGAGGGAAAACGACACGAGACCATAGAATGCAAAAGCCGAATCCTGGACATTTTGGCCGATCTCGAAACACATTTTCGGGCAGACTCATCACGGAGTCGGTCGGAGACTCACTAGTAGCCTAGACTTCTTGTTTAACTACTGCGCTCTGTTACCGGTAGGCGTGGCCTCCTAGGGGAGAGAAGTAAGTGCATTCTGGGAGTTGTTGTCTTTCATCCACAAACCAAACATATATTGTCTGGCTTTTCTCAGTCTAGAAAGCTCCAAATTCAAAAAATAATGTCACATTTCTTCTACATAAATGACCCATTTTAAATACACATTAATCTTTCCAGAGGTGAAGTATTCCTTATAAGGTATGGTTGCTAGATGATTTTGTTTTGGAACCTTCAGAAAACTTTAACCAGATTTCTTCAAAATTGAATTTGAGCTACACCTATTTGCAGTTAATGGAGTCAGCAGTCATTTTTTTTTTCATTTGATTCCAACAAATCATAAATCATTTTGAGGGTTTTTTAATAGACCATTTCAAAAGATGTAAACAACACTGGTCCAGAAGCACTTCCTGTTTCAGTTTGTAACTGTTTTCTTTATTTCACATGTCAAGAAAACATCTTAAAGAGGTTTGTTTAACTTTTTTGATTCAGTTTTAAATGTTCTGTTGGTTGTATTTTATCCCAGCTTTTATGTAGTGTTAAAAAACTGAAACAGGAAGTGCTTCTGGACCAGTGTTGTTTACATCTTGTGAAATGGTCTATAGAGAATGTCAAAATAGCCTAATTTTTGGAAATTTGCTCATTGCGATTAATTTTGGCAGCACATGTCACATTTTTCTGCAACCAATTGCTATTTTTGATGTGCGTTATGTATGTGCATTGATTTGAATTCCCGAAGAGTAACAAATGTCTTATAGGTTTGGAAAAGAATTAGAATTTATAGAATTTTTATTTTTGTATTACTTTTAATATAGATGATGTTGCCTCTGCTTTTTCTTTAGTGAGTAATTTGGCTCTTGTAAAGCCAGATAAAGCAAAAGCAGTGGAGAATTACCTGATTCAGATGGCTCGCTTTGGACAGCTTGGAGGAAAAGTAAGATGGCAGATGAAGCATCATTAATAATGTGTTTTTGAATGTACATTTTTCTAGCATCGAGTTTTATTTTTAGATTACAGAGGCTGGATTAATAGAGATCCTGGAGAAGGTTAGTCAACAAACAGAGAAGAAAACAACTGTTAAGGTAAGTACTTATGCTATCATTAAAAATCTGTTCTCAAGATTGTAAAAATGGCGTAAACATAGTTCTGTTAATTTTTCTGGTTTGTTCCCAGTTCAACCGACGTCGGGTAATGGACTCCGATGAAGAGGATGATGATTAATATGCAGGTGTCATAAGTCAGCTGGGTTTCTGTACTCACAGTTCTTTTGGTATTCTGGTGTGACTGCTGACCAGGGCATGACTGACTGACAGATCAATTATCCTGCCCAAAACACAATCACGGCCAAAGAACTTTGATCTGTGGTGATACAGAAACTCTTAATTTAAATACGGTTTCTTTTTTAGTTTAGTGTCTTAGATTTTCTTGCATTTTTCTTTGCCTCAAACAACACATTGCAGCAATGCTGCTACATTTTTAGAGACTTGTTGAAAGTACAGTGGACATTTCTGATCTATTGTTGTTGCAATAATTAGAACTGGCCTCATATCTTTTGATTTTGTGGACTTTTTTGAGGAGACATGCAACTGTTTACATAATAAAAGCCTTAAACAAAATTTTGAGAAATTCTTATTACATCAGGCGCATTGCTTGTCTCACACTGTGTACTAACCAGACAAGGCCCAACAAAGCTACACATGATAAAAGGTATCTCTTTAATGTTAATCTTTTTTTTTTTTGTCTTAACAGGCAATAATTTTACTGAGCATCTCTACATTTTGTTGGTGTTCCAATAGAAAAGAACTGTTCTGATTGTTTGGTGATTGACTGTATTGTCATTGGCAATTTTCGTGGCTACTCTGTTGGAGTAGATGTGGGAGAGGGGAGGAAAGTTAATACCTGCAATCTTGCTACATGTTCTGACAATGCTCTCTAGTCGGTTTTTTTTTCCTTGCAGACAAGGAACCAAACCAACAGATAAAACAAAAAGTTAAAACAGACTCAAGAAAACAGGAATAAAACATTTTCATCAAGGTGCGGTCAATGTTAAAATTCCTCAATCTACGAAGAAAATACATTCGTTGCTGGGCTTTAGCACAAACAGCATCAATGTGAGAATCAAAACATAGCTTACTGTCAATTGTTGTACCAAGGTACTTGTATTCCTGTACCACCTCGATGGGCTGGCCATCATAGTAAGGGGGAGACATGGCCTCTGTTTCCTAAAATCTATAATTAGTTCTTTTGTTTTGGAAACATTTAAAAAGGAACACTTACACCACTCATTAAAATCCTTCAATATTGGTCCATGATTAATCACATTTTCATTTAAAAGAGACACAATGACAGAATCATCAGCAAATTTTAAAATGTGTCTATCATCATATGTGCGACCGGCATTCATTTGTGTATAACACAAAAAGAAGAGGAGAAAGGACACATCCTTGGGGGGAGCCAGTAGAAGATAAAAGTTTACCAGATAAGACACCATTAACCTTAACTTTTTGAGATCTTAAAGTCAACTAACCAGGCTGTTAGACCTGGGTTAATGTTGTAGTTCTTTAAAAGTCTATCTGCTAAAATGTGGGGTTGAATGCAGTTTTAACTGCATTCAACCCCACATTTTAGCAGATAGACTTTTAATCTGCTTGTGGGTGGAGTTCGGTATGATTCCAGATGTGTAAAGTCCAGGTTCGGAAAGTAAAAGTCCTCCACAGTATTTTGTTCCAATTACCTGGATTTGCTAATTAGCACAGTTTATTTTTTTTAGCCAGGATAACTAATTGGTGAAATCAGCTGGCTGAGTTCATGGGTGGAATAAACCTATGGCAGGCCGCAGGACTTTTACTTTCTGACTTTACACCTCTGTATGATTCCACCAAATCAGCTAATCTTTGTTAAATGGCACAGCTTTTTAAATATATGTATGTATACTCTTAACATCAGTCAATCAAGAATTATAAAGATAATCAAGCAAGCAAGATGATGATTGAAATTAAGTGATTAGAACTGAAACTGAAAAAAAAGAAGAAAAACATGGTAACCATGTATGAATGCATAGTTTTTCATTTTAACTGAACATAGGACCCGTGATGGTGCTTAAGATACTGTTGGTCATTCAATGTTTTTGTAAAAAAAAAAAATTGATAATGGTTTTAATTATTAAGAGATAATAATCATGCTACTAATAATAACAATATACAACGCACTAAGGATTGATGAGCTGCTGGGTTTATGAATATTGATCAAGTTGTCAACGTTGACTCGAAACGCTTTGCTGAAATCAAAACATGGATGAGCGCCAGCCAAAGAGATTGCCCTTTGCGCATTAGTTCCGACCACTACCCATCTCTATCATAACATTAACCATTTCTACTGTTTTATATATATATATATATATATATAAAGCCGGTGGTACTGCTACCCTAGTGCCTTTAGGGTTATTGTGCATGACATGCAAAAAACGTAACCCTGCTTTGACTGTCGAATAGAAGTGTGCTGTAGAGCTAGCATCAATGCGGTCTCGACGCACTGCGCGCTGTAACTCGTGGCTTCAAGCGCATCATTCTCCGCTCGGAATGCGCATATACTCTTTGTGCCGCACTGTACTGAGCCTTTCATATCATAATGCAGTGACGCAATGACAGATTATTAATTGCCTTTCTTGTTCTGTCCAATCTATCATATGTTGCTACCTCATTAAACATCTCTGCTATACATTTAAAACATGTTGTCTCAATTTTATAGTAGCCATGGCTATATATAAAATAATATATCTTTTTGATTTTTTTCATCTTGTTTTTCATGAATGTATTTAAAAACAATACAAAGAGCAATGTGTATTATCCACTAATCTAGTTTATAATAGCATTTTTGTCATTGATTATGATCATATATTTTTTTGGATTTGTTGTTTATCTTTATTATGAAGTTGTCTGTATTAAGTAGCTTCTGTTTAACACACACAAGAGTTATTATTAGTTCAACACACAGAGTTATAGAAATTCTACTTGATCTAAAAAAAAACCTGCACTGGTATTGGTATTGTTCGATACTCACAATTTTTGGTATCGGATTGATTCTAAAAAAGATGGTATCGGTGCATCCCTAGTAGCAGTGAAGTTTGAAGCAAATCAGGTAAAAATAATAGGGTGATTTAAAAGTATTTTGAAAGTGACGCACTTCCTGCAGACAGTTGGTGGCTCTATAACCGAGGTTGTGGTGCCACCAACTTGGGCCCATCCGCATTAAGACCAAAATAGCCGACTTCCTGTTGGGCTGGCTTAAAGTTGTTTGCCCCGATGAGATCTATATATGTACCGAGTTTCGTATTATTACATGCAAGTGTGTTTGATTTATGGACCAAATTTTAAGACCAAGTTTATGGACCAAGTTAATTTAATTAATAAACTAATTATATAAATAATCTTGTCAATGCACTGCAATTAAACTGGATATATGCCTTTACTTAAAAAAAAACATATTTAAAAAATACAAGGCTTAAGACATTTATTTTCTTTTATACAGGCCAAAAACACAGCAGTGAAATGGTTAATCTAGCCCCTTTGCACATGTCTACTGGCTAATAAATGTGATGTGTCTGACGAGTTTCATGCCATTTCAAGCATGCTAAGAGTCTCATCCTGAAAGAATGGTAAAGTTTTATGCGTTGCCACGGCAACAGTATCAAATATATCAAGAATCCATTCACAGGTCTACATTATACAGATGAAGTTTGAAGCAAATCGGGTTAAAATAAGAGGGTGATTTCAAAGCATTTTGAAAGTTACACACTTCTTGTTGCCAGTTGGTGGTGCTTTAACTTTGACTCACAATAGTCACATCCATGTGATCGGCCCCTTAGAGCGAACACACTGATGAAGTTTCATCAAGATCAATTAATGTATGTAGAAGTTATAACACACTTCCTGTTTCATGTTTCTCGCCATAAATTAGTTTCCTCGCCACAGCCAAACCGTTCGAGATATCAAAAATCCCCTGGCTATTTTTCATCCTCAATGTCTTGACTTCACGCTGACTGAGTTTCGTCGAATTTGGATCAGTGCTCTAGGAGGAGTACTTTAAATTCCATTGCATACGTTTTACAAAAAATCCCTAAATAGCCGACTTCCTTTTGGGCTGGGGTAACAAGTAAGAGTATGAAGTATAAGTGAACCGATGAGATCTACATGTGTACCGAGTTTCATATTATTACATGCAAGTGTGTTTGATTTATGGACCAAATTTTCAGACCAAGTTTATAGACCAAGTTAATTTAATTAATAAACTAATTATATAAAACTATTGTCAATGCACTACAATTAAACTGGTTATGTAATAATAAAATAATACATAAAAATAATAATAGAGAAAAAAAATAATCCTAAGGAAAACAATAGGGCTCTGCGCCCTTTCAGGGCTTGGGCCCTAAATATCGTTTACATGTAGCATGTCGATTCAGTGTGTTATGGAAACCCTCTCGATAACACTTTATAATAACTACACTTTAATAATCCTTAGTTAAGCATGAGTAAACATTTAATTCATCATTCATAAAGCATTAATAGACATTAATAAGCGGTTTATAAATACTGTTATAAATGCTTTCTTGATTAAAAAGCACATCTATAATTTGTTTAATAATTGTATTTTCATCATTCATCATTTCTAAATTGCATTTTTTATAAACCAGTTATTTAAAGGTCCTATATGTAACTTTTTTTATACAATGAATCCCTTTTTATTCTCTGTCTTTGAAGTGGTTGTAATCACACATTGCAATGATCCACTTTTTGGATTTTGCTATTACCTCTGAAGGCCAATATTTATATTTATATGTGAGGTCTCCGGGTCGGATTTCTCAGGAAATCCATCAGATGACGTGCATGCGCACTTCCGAGCCTCTCTATCCTTATATACATTCTATGCGACCAACGGCACTTCAGCTGACGACATGGAGTCTGATAACCCCCCAAAACGTCCTGCCTCCAGCACAACACAGACTCAAACACAAAGTCCAAAAAAATATAAAAAACAAAAAAAGTTTTATCTGCTCAAGCTCGTCAGGCAAAACATGAATCTGATCGACTCCGGACGAAAACGTGGATCAAACGTGGATCAAGCAGCTTTGAGATGAGTTTATTTGAGATTGGTCGCTCTCACACAGTGCTGTGTGTTGTGGTCTATCGGCCCCCCAAGTACAACAAGGACTTTTTAAATGATTTTGCTGATTTTCTGGCTGAAATCATGCCTAAATATGATCGTGTTCTTATTGTTGGGGATTTTAATGTTCATGTGTGTTGTCCTGACAAGCCAATGACAAAGGGTTTTCTAAACCTCATTAGCCGCGTTTCCACTGCCGGGCTAGGGCTGGGCCAGAGCTAACAGCGAGCCGGGCCGAGCTAGTGGCCTCGGGCCTCAAGCACCGGGCTTGCGTTTCCACTGCCGGGCCAGTAGCCCCCACAGCGCTGCCCCAGACCCCACCCCTAACACGCCTTTCAGGATCAAACGTCATAAAACCCAACCCATTTCAGCGGGTATTATGAATTAATTTATTTTTTAAATTAGGAAGATAGCATGTATATTAACTCAACTGCCGTAGTGGCTGCAATAGTGTCCCGAGACCA